CAACAATGTTAATTGATTCTCATGGTGTTGCAAAGGTTTTTAAATTAATAGACTAACTTACAACAATGTTGCGGGCTTTATCACTGACCCATTCTCCAGTCTTAAATTTTTTTGTCTTTTTCACTAATTCCCAAGCAGTAGGGGGACGATTTAGCTCCTTCGCCTATATAAATTTAAATACAAGTTAATATTGCAATTCAACCAATCAATTATATTAAATTGAACTACATATAAATAAAAAATGAAATAAACTTACCAATTTTTCAAAGTGGGCTCCTGCAGATATGGAGCCACCAGTGTAGGCTGTTGGTCCATTCTCTACAGCCCGATTCCCTTTAGCAGTATTACTTTTGTTTTGGAATTTTTCAGAAGCCCAATATTGATCCAAAATAGCTCGAGAATTTTCAGGGATCCAATTTCCCTTATCGACACCTAGTCTATCCTTATGCATAGAATTTTTCAGAAGCCCAATATTGATCCAAAATAGCTCGAGAATTTTCAGGGATCCAATTTCCCTTATCGACACCTAGTCTATCCTTATGCATAGAATTTTTCAGAAGAGTTGATCCTTTATGCTCAAAAGTCTTTCGCAATTACTATATATGTATGTTGGGGTAGAGGGTGTCACAGAGAAAGCAGGACCTATCTTCACTCTACTACGGAAACCAAAACACTTCGAGTAGACTGACAAATGTGAAGAAGCCTTCATGAGCTTAAAAGACTTCCTTGCCACCCCTCTGATCTTATAAAGGCCGAGTCACACTGCTGACCTCCTCCTTTACTTGGCCATGGCGGAAGACGCAATCAACGCGGTGATAGTACAAGAACGTCACAAAGAGCAAACACCCATCTATTTCATCAGCTGAGTCCTTCAAGACACGGAAAAACGATATCAGACCATCGAAAAGCTGGCATTGGCACTCGTCACCGCAGCTCGACGCCTCTGACCTTACTTCCAAAGTCACCAGGTAGTCGTCAAAATTGACTACCCAATCAAGCAGATACTGAGAAAACCAAAACTGGCAAGGCGCATGATCGCGTGGTCGGTAGAGCTCTCTGAATTCAGCATTAGATACAAGGCCAGAGGACCCCTCAAGGCTCAATGCCTAGTTGACTTCGTAGCTGAGCTCACCCCCACCTCACTGTTAGAAAGTTCGACCTGGACTCTACACGTTGACGGATCCTCAAACACTACAGGTGGAGGTGCAGGCATTATCCTGGAAGGCCCTAACCATGTTACCATTGAACAATCCCTCAAGTTTGAATTCAAAACCACCAACAACCAAGCAGAATATGAGGCACTACTCGTAGGATTAAGGTTGGCACGGGACGTCAGAGCACAGAAGGTGAGTTGCATCAACGACTCAAAGCTCATGGTGGAACAACTCAGCGACACATATCAGACTAAAGACACCCTACTAAAATGATACTACCACGTAGTGTCACAATGGACGTCATCTTTTGAAAAATTCACCATACACCATGTGCCCCGAGAATAAAATGTCAGAGCAGATCTCCTATCCAAGCTCGCCACTACAAAGCGACCTAGACAACATCGGACGATCATTCAGGAAACCCTCAGCTCCCCCATCCTGGAAGCTAAGGTCATCAACACCAACGATGTTGGAGACAAAGAATGGATGACCGACGTGTGGAACTATTTGCAAGAAGGGATATTGCTGAAAGACAACGATGAAGCTCAGAAATTGAGGGTAAAGTCATCTAAATTTATCATTGTGGCAGGTGAACTTTTCAAAAGAAGCATCTCAACCCCTCTACTAAAGTGCTTGACCAAGGCCCAAGCAGCCTATGTCATCGAGAAAATCTACCAGGGCATCTGCGACATGCACTCCAGGGCACGCTCGATGGCAACCAGGGTGCTCCGAGCTGGATATTACTAGCCCACACTGAACTCAGATTACAAAGATTACGTACAAAGATGCAAAGAATGTCAACAGTTTGGTAACACACATCGGCAACCACCCGAAGCCCTACACAAAATGGCGTCCCTATGGCCCTTTGCCTAGTAGGGAATGGACATCCTCAGACCATTTCCCCCCGCGAAAGGTCAACTCAAATTCCCCCTTGTAGTAGTTGACTACTTCACCAAGTGGATCGAGGCTTGTCCACTTGCGAAAATCACCACCGAGAACGTGCAAAAGTTCACCTGGAAGAACATTATTTACAGGTTTGGTATCCCACACTCCCTCATCACAGACAATGGCAGGCAGTTCATTGCACAGAGCTTCGAGAGTTTTCTCCAAGAGCTTAACATCAAGCACCTCCCCACCTCGGTGGAACATCCCCAAACCAACGGCCAAGCCGAAACTACAAACAAGGTCATACTCTGGGAACTCAAAAAGTGACTAGGAAATGCCAAAGGACAGTGAGTTGACGAGCTCCCCAGCATTCTCTGGGCGTATCACTGCACCCCCAATCCACGACTCTAGAAATCCCTTACAGGCTGACTTATGGAGCCAACGCCATGATCCCAGCAGAGGTTGGTGAGACGTCTCATCAGCGTCACACCTTTGACACTGAGTAAAACACTCAAGAAACAGCAGCCAACCTCGACGTAATAGACGAACTCAAAGAGGAGGCTCGGATTCAAGAAAAAGCTTAAAAATTGCGAGCTTCTAGAAGATACAACACGTGAGTCTAACCTCGCTCTTTCTGTGTCAGCAACCTAGTATGGAGACTACAAGGCGAAGCAAGGAGAGACCCATCAGAAGGGAAACTCGCACCTAATTGGGATGGCCCGTTCCGAGTCACCGAAGAATTAGAAAACGGAGCATATCGACTAGAGGAGCTCAACGAGAAGACCATCCCGAGAACTTGGAATGTCACTCATCTCAAGTTTTACTTTAGCTGAATTGTATAAATGGGTTGTTGCACTCTTTTCCCTACCCATTCGTTTGTCTCAAAAAATAGAAAAATGGGTTTTGGCTGAGAGGGTTTTTAACGAGGCACACCCACAACATCAATAAAAATGACTTAGTTTACTCATATTTCCTCAATTTCACGCTTTCTGGCACGAATTACATTAAGCCAAGGTCAAATTCGAAACTTGGCACGAATTACGTTAAGCCAAGGTCGAATTCGAACCTTGGCATGAATTACATTAAGCCAAGGTTGAATTCAAACCTTGGCACGAATTACATTAAGACAAGGTCGAATTCGAACCTTGGTACGAATTAGATTAAGCCAAGGTCGAATTTGAACCTTGGCACGTATCATATTTAGTCAAAGTAAAATTCGAACCTTGGCACGATTCATATTAAATCAAGGTCGAATTTGAACCTTGGCGCAAATTATGTTAATGGTCAAGTTTGAACCTTAAGGCCAAACACGGGCCACGATGAAAATTAAAGGTCAAGTTTGAATCTCAAACACTTAAACTCGTTTTCAAACAACAATGAGAAAAACAACATATATATATATATAGAAAATTCAACCAAAGGGAAATGAGTTCAACACAAGGCTACAAGAAAGCAAAATAAATTACAAAAAGCACAAAGAAAAATGAAGGCCTAGGCAGCAGTGTCCTCGCTAGCACTTTCGGACAGGTCATCTTCATTAACCAATTGCCCACCTCGCACACCTTTATCAATGTGCATGGCAGAAAGATCAACCTCTCCCGCCAGAAGCCTAGCTTGGCGAACTGCCTTGGCGAAGCCTCGACGATGCTCCACCACAACGGCCCGCTCAGTCTCGTTAAGCCTCTTCTCCAAATTTCTCTTTTCAAAGGTCATCACATCGAGATCCATTTTTAGGGAGCCAATTTCCTCCTCCCGACCAGCCAGAAGAACCTCGTCACAAAGACGCCTCTCTGCGGCCTCCCCCAAGTCAGCCTTCAACACCGCGTTCTCCTCCAAGGAGAGAACCCAGCTCCGCGCAATCTCTGCCTCGGCCTTGCAAACCTTGGCAACCTCTTGCAAGCTACCAACATCGGTGGTGTACACCTCATTGGCCTCCAGGGCAATCTCCAAAGACTTACGAGTCTTTGAGAGATCTCTCCTCAGGGTTTGAAGCTCGGCTTCATCTTTCTTCGCCTTCTCCAGCTCGCCCTGAAGCCTCGACCACTTGCGCCTCCAGTGGTCCACTATAGCCCTGAAGGTCGGGTCCTCCTTAAAAAATGCCTTAGCAGTCATGCTCGAACTCCACAGCGATGTCACGTCCGGCGATACACTTACGTGATCCAGCCTTGATATCAGATGTTTGACATTGAAGCGTTGCACGATGCACCTCGGTCTCGGAGCACCTAGAGGAGGAGGCGTAGTGGCGGAAGGAGCCAATCGCGGCACCCCAGAACTTGATCCTTCCCCGTGAACCTCGGCAGAGGAAGGCATCGGACCCACCTACAAGAAAATCACAATAAATTTCTAAGTTACAAGCATAAGAGTAACATAAGAAGGACTATCTTAAGGAAAATTAAAGCAAGAACCTGTCCCCCCGGGGTAGCCTCCACCACAGGCTCCCTCGGCGAAGTCCTAGCCTGAGGACTCTCGGTCAAATCCATGGGGGTGGCATCGACGGCTTTTGACGTCACCTCCTCAAGAACGGGGGCACCCGAAGCCTCGCTGACCTCCTTTTGTGCCCTCTTCCTCTTACGACGAGTCTCCAACGGGGCAACTTTCTCACCAGGCTCGGGCACCTCGAGCTCCTCGGTGTTGAATTTCGCCTTCAATTCATGCCACTTGCTTTTCCCCATTAGACCTGCAAACATAAAACAACATAACACATCAGAACATCGCTAGAAGCAACAAAAAAGAGACAAAGGGAAAACAATGAAGTACTCACTCTCTAAACCCCTTTCTTTATCAGTCAAATTGGCAAGGGAAAAGACGAGTTTGTTGTCCAGTGGGCATGGAAGCTCGGCCAATTTGACGATGTTATCCTTGTTAGAATCCTACAATTGAAGACAACTCGACCCATTGAACTTGACTGGGCTTCGTTTCCAAAAGAAAGGGAACCTCGACTCCCCCTCACTATGGAAAACCACCTCCTCCCTTGGATCGGAAACCACAGGTCAGATCCAGAAAAACTCTTTTTTGAAATTTTTATACGATTGGGAGTAAAGCTGGAAAAACCCCCCAGCCTTTACTCCCACTGAGAGACACCAAACCTAGGGGAGGCTCGCCCAACTTCAGTTGGTAGAAGTGCAAGAAAATAGGCAGAGACACACCCATTCCTAGGGCTGAACACAAAACTTGAAACGCCCTTAAGAAACCCCAACTATTGGGGTGCAACTAGTAGGGGGCCACATTAACAAACTGGAGGAAGGCTCACTCAAACTCGGTGAATGGCAAGCAAACACCGAGATCCCAAAAAAAACCCTCGTACATGTAGAAAAATGGGGTATTCGGGGTACCCGCCATATAAACACGCTCACCGAGCTGGCAAGGCTCAACCCGAATGACCTTGGAAATTTTTGAACTACAAAATTTTAGCATTTTTCACATGGCGTTAACATCTAGAAATGCCCTAAATCGACTCTCGAACTCCCCAACGTCCCCCCTGACCCATTCGTACCCCGAGACAGAAATAATGGGGTGAGAATCCTTAGGGTTGTTCCCACCCCTTTTCTTTTCAGCACCGACCATTTCCCTGGCCGCCGCCTTGTCGCGTGCCTTGCCCTTACCTTTGGAAGGCACAACATTCTCTCCCTCCCTAGCCATTGAAAACGAAGAAAACTAGAAAAGGGGAAGAGTGAAGGAGAGGGCAAAGGGGATACCTGCCACAAACAACCCTCGAAGAACAAAGACTGGCAACAATGATAGTGCAATGAAAGCACTGAGAGCGACAAAAACAACACTTAGGGCGACGGAGAAGGCAAAAGGGTAAGAACAGTGAAGGAAGGCGAAGAAGAGAAATGCGCAAAGGAAGGACTAGCATAAGGGGGAAGCTAAATGTGTAAAGGCGCAAAAGTGGGAAGAAGAGAGAGACCAAGTGTTTAAAAAAAAAAAAAAAAAGAAGCAAAAAACGTAAAAAGGGACGGGGCATTAAATGGAGCTCTTAATGACAGGGTGCATCCCATCATTACGAGCCGCCATTCTTCATTACAAGCCGCTTTGACGTTTCGAGAAACGAGGCAACACTTCGTGATACGTGGCGCTTCGCTCAAAAGGCAGGAATGAAAGGTCACAACCCCCCACATGCCCAACAATTAACTCTTCGACCCGAGGTCTTTAGAGCTCGGGGGGCTAGTGTACTATCTGCGCCAAGCACTGAGCTTGAAATCGGCGCTGAGCCCTCCACTACTTCGGATGAGTGCTACAAGACATCAGCCAAAACAAAAGCCCACTATCTAAATGGGCCACAACCAACCTCAGGCCTAGACAAATCCTAATTCATACTAAGGTACGTGCACTACATATATGAGACGCCTACACTATCCAAAACTAACTTAAGCATTGGAGTCTCTTTTACAGGTACCACCCCCACTTCGGAGTAGCCGACGTACCAAGTAGAGGAGGCCCACCGATCTTATCCAGAGATCGTCTCACTCACTGATCCCCGGTAAGAACATTTATAGAAAAAGAAAAAAAGTTGGAGTTGATTTGGCTAAACATTAGGAAGAAAATAGGTTCTTTTAATTTCTATTTTTTTTTAAAATTGAGTCAATTTGTTTGATCTACCAACCCATAATGGATCAAGTTAGGTCACGTGATCTATTTTAAGAACTCTAACATACATGAAATATTATAAGATGTAAAAAAGATAAGGATACATTGACTTAATTATCGAAGTTCTTTTCATTTAGACCAAGATCAAAGGAGTTCTTGAAAGGAAATTGAATAAATAGAGATCCGAAAAAGATTGGACTAAGAGAAAAATTTGAAGCAGATTGTACACTTAACATATTTAAATATTCTACATTTGGACCTTATCTGATAAGAACAATACTCAATTGTTTTAAAATAAAATTTCGAATTCAAGTATAACAAATAAAAGAAAAAAAGAACATCGCTAGCAAAAATGATTCTTAAAAAAAAAAAAAATAATTGGCCAGTAGCCGAGTTTCTGAAAGAAAATAATTCATAGAAAAAATCAATATATATTTCGTGTCGATTAAAAATTACCAATGATATTACTATGAATGAATGTTATGTGATACTAAATTTGGTGTATAAATTTGGAATATAGCGGTAGAATAATTGTATAGCTGCAATGGCCGTCCTTGTTCTTCTTTCTTTACTCCTACTACCTATCTTCATTCTCTTCATAATCCACACACACAAAAGAAACAGCGCCGCAAGAGCACCTCTTCCACCGGGACCTCCACCTCTTCCTCTCATCGGCAACCTCCACCACCTCGACCAATCAGCCCCACATCGCTGCCTATGGCGTCTCTCCAAACTCTACGGTCCCCTCATGTCGCTGCGCGTCGGCACCGTACCAACCGTGGTAGTTTCCTCAGCCAAAATCGCCAAACAAATTCTGAAAACCCACGACCAAAACTTCGCGAGCAGGCCATCCTTCGTGGGCCAGAGAAAACTCTCCTACAACGGGCTGGACTTGGGCTTCGCTCCGTACGGCCCAAGCTGGAGAGAACTCAAGAAGCTCTGCATCATCCACCTCTTCAGTCAGCAGCGCGTGCAGTCCTTTCGCCCCATTCGAGAACACGAGGTCGCGCAAATGGTTCGGCGGCTTTCGCAGCTGCACGAGGAGGCTTACGTGAACCTCACCGAAACGGCGATGTCGTTGAACAACTCTCTCATATGCAGAATCGCGTTAGGGAAAAAGTACGGTCGCGAGTACGAGGAAGTTGTTAACCGGAGGAGCAGGTTGCAGGTTATGCTCAACGAGGCGCAGGCGGTGCTCGGGGAGTTTTACTTTTCGGATTATTTCCCGTTCTTGGGGTGGGTTGATAGACTCAGGGGAATTCTGTCGCGGCTTGATAAGACTTTCGAGGAGTTGGATGTGTTCTACGAACGCGTTATCCACGACCACATGGATTCCGCCAAGGGTGGAAAAACTAATGACAAAGAAGTGCCGGATATCATTGATATCTTTCTACAATTACTTGATAATCACTCGCTCTCGTTTCATCTCACTCTCGATCACATAAAGGCCGTGCTTATGGTAAAGTATTCAATTAGTAATGTTGACTAGTTAGTTCAACTAGTGGGTGTTGCTCGTAATTAATATTTGTTGAAAAATCTTATCAATCATAATTAGAATGGTTTTTCTTATACTCTACTCTGATAGGTGTATATGAATCATGTGGTTTATATATATGTACGTACGTGCAGAACATCTTTATAGCGGGAACGGATCCGCCTTCAGCGACATTAGTTTGGGCTATGAATGCACTGATGAAGAATCCCAACGTGATGAGCAAGGTTCAAGGGGAAGTGAGAGATCTATTCGGGCACAAAGATTTTATAAACGAAGAGGATGTTGAAAAGCTTCCTTATCTAAAAGCAGTGGTGAAGGAGACACTGAGACTCTTTCCACCGTCACCGTTACTTTTGCCTAGGGAAACGATGGAACGTTGCAACATAGAAGGGTACGAAATTGAACAGAAAACCGTAGTGCATGTTAACGTGTGGGCCATAGGAAGGGACCCCGAGTATTGGGAAAAGGCAGAGGAGTTTTGGCCCGAAAGGTTCCTTGGGAACTCGATGGAGTTAAAGGGGAAGGAGTTTGAGGTGATTCCGTTTGGGTCTGGACGGAGAATGTGTCCAGCGAAGCACATGGGAATGGTCAACGTTGAGCTTTCGCTGGCGAATCTCGTCCACACGTTTGATTGGGAAGTGGCTGAAGGGGTTAACAAGGAAGAGATGTTGGACACGGAAGTAAAACCGGGAGTGACTATGCACAAGAAAAATGATCTTTTCCTTCTGGCAAAGAAGTGGAAAACGTAGCACATTCACTGTCACATCTATCCATGAGTATATTATTTGTATGCCCACAAGTTTGTATTGTTTTTTTATGTCACTTGATAATAATTAATAGCGGAGGTTTAGTAAATTAGCCTATTCTTTTTTATGCATTTATTATAATTAAATAATATATGTTCTTTTATGCGGATGAAATTTACGGTCTATCTATTAGTCAAGCGGCTCATAAGTTTAGATTAACTCGTTAATATTTCAATAAAAAATAAAAATATATATTGTAATAGGAATTGTCCCTTTTAACCCTTGTTAGTATTGTCCGATCCATATTTGTTTATTGCAGATTGACTAGGGGTGGGCAAAAAAAATTAAACTGAACTAAACTAAACTGGTGGTGAACTGTACTATAAAAAACTGAACTGTTTGTAAAAAAATTGAACTGAACTGTTTAAAAAAAAACTAAACTGAACTGAACTGTTGTAAAGTTAAACTATACTGAACTATAAAAACTGAACTGAATTATAAAAATTGAACTATTTTTATAAAAGAATAAAAATTAAATGTGTTTAACATGTTATGTCTTAATAGATTAGCTCGATAGTCTAATAATCAAAATATAAAAAAATCATCTAAAAAAAATTGTATCAATTTTGTCGATTGTATCAATTTTGTTGAACTTAACGGATCAATTGAGCTATGTTGAACTACTTATTTTTAGGCTTAAAATTCACTGAGTTTGTTTGACTTAATTTTATATTTTTTTCCTTTGAAAAATTTAAATAAAATGGAAAATAAAGTAAAGTTGGCAAATGTGTCCTATTTTGATAGATCAATGAGTCAAAATTGTTCAATTCAAAATATCATAATAGTTTAGTACAGTTTAAATTGTAGTTCAGTTCAAGTTTTTATAGTATAGTTCAGTTCAGTTCAGTTCAGTTCAATGACACAAAAGAATAGTTCAGTTCAGTTTGTCTGAACTAATGTTTAGTTTAGTTCAGTTCATATGAACTATTTTTAAGTTCAGTATAGTTTTTATAAGTTCAGTTCAGTTCAGTTCGTTTTGCCCACCCCTAAGATTGACACACTACTAGAGGTTCACTGTGCTTTATGTAACACCCCAGTTTTAATACTTTTATTGAGGGTAATTTAGTAATTTTAAAAGGGGTGATTTAGTAGTCTAGAACGGGCCGTTCCAAACTACTAAAACGAGGGTGATTTAGTAGTCCAGAATGGGCCGTTTCTAGACTGGAACAGGTCATTCCAAAATACTAAAATTGCCTACAAATCTTAGTTGGGAACGGGGCATTCAAAAGGCTTGTAACCCTAGTTGGGAAAGGGTCGTTCTGGTTTAAGAACGGGCCATTCCAAACATGGCCGTTATGGGTTAAAATGTAACCCCAGAACAGGTCGTTCCAGATTTGAAACAGGTCGTTCTGACCACTCCTGAAATCTATAAATAGAACACTCTAGCACTGTTTCTAGACACACTCTTTGGATACCAAGGAGAACCAAGAGGAGGAGATCAGCCAGATTCTGCTCTAGCTTCATCTTCTACTTATCCAGGTAAAGGGGAGTGAGAAACCTCGCTCGGGGGTGTGGGAATAATTGTTAAGTAGTAGGATTGGTCCCCAATCCCTTGCCTCATGCATGCTTCTAGGAACAGACAAAATATGAATGTTTTCTGTTTTGCTTTCTGATTCTTTTGTTGTGTTCCTTGTTGGCTGTGATGTATGAATATGTGATTGATTTTGAAAATAAATATGTTTTGATATGAATTAAAGTGCTCTATGGGTTCTTGAGAGAATCCTATGAGAAACAGGCAAAATATGAATATATTCTATTTTGCTTTCTGAATGTTCTATTGCGTTCCTTGTGTGATATAGAGTGTGAATATGTATTTGATTTCATAATTAGATAAGTTTTGATATGAATTAGAGTGCTCTATGGGTTCCTGTGCGAAACCCTATGAGGAATAATTATAAGTATCACTATGTGAAATATGAACAAATGACATGAGACATGATGTGAATGAAATGTGCTATTGTGAAACGTGATGTAATGAGATAAGCTATGAGAATGTGAAATGTGATGAAATGAGATAAGCTATGACTATGAGAATGTGAAATGTGATGAATGTGATAAGACCTGAAATTTCATGACAAGTGAAATGTTGAGTCAATGAAATCGTGAATGTGTGACATGCATCATGTGCATATATGAGCTAACAAGGTGTACCTTAGGGTCACCGGTGATGTAACAAGCTAACAAGGTGTACCTTAGGGTCACTGGTGATGTAACAAGCTAACAAGGTGTACCTTAGGGTCACTGGTGATGTAACAAGCTAACAAGGTGTACCTTAGGGTCACTGGTGATGTAACAAGCTAACAAGGTGTACCTTAGGGTCACTGGTGATGTAACAAGCTAACAAGGTGTACCTTAGGGTCACTGGTGATGTAACAAGCTAACAAGGTGTACCTTAGGGTCACTGGTGATGTAACAAGCTAACAAGGTATACCTTAGGGTCACTGGTGATGTAACAAGCTAACAAGGTGTACCTTAGGGTCACTGGTGATGTAACAAACTAACAAGGTGTACCCTGGGTCACCAATGATGAAATGATGAGAGATGTGATTTGGTGTGTCTCAAAAACTCGTCTAGGAGCCAAAAAGGGGGTGGCAGCTATCCCCCTAAAATGTCACATCTAGACCTAAAAACCTAGTTGCCTCTTTGTCCCCTCCAAATTTTGAATGAATTAGAGTCAAAGAAATTGGGCTAACCCAGTTGGCCCAACTGTCTATTATACAGCAAAATATGAAATTACAAATAAAAATGAAATTAAAAGTGTGCTGAAATAGGTCCACGTGGCAGTGCTCCTGATCCATTAAGTGCTTCCAAACTCTCTGCAAATGATTATGAAATTAATTAGGCTAATAAATCACATTAAATGAAATTCTGAATTAATACCCAATAAACCTCAAAACAATAAAATATGGCAAGAGACAACCATTAGGCACTAACAATATTTAATAGGGGATTATAAAGGTAAGAAAATGTACGAAAATTATGATTCATCAACCAACACGTGCTTGGTGTGTTGATACATTGAAGAATATCATCTATGCATGCATCATACTACATAACATGATAGTTGAAGATGAGAGGCACGCATACAATATTAATTTTGATTATGATAATGGTGGTAATGAAGTCTCGACTACCGATGTATCTATATTGGTTCTCATCCTATTTTTACTGCAACATACTTACAAGAAAGGCACATCTTCATGATAGACAGCAACACCGACAACTACAAAACAACTTGCTGGAACATATTTGGGAACGTTTTGGACATCATAATAATGAAAATTAGTGCGTATTTATTGTTATAAATAATTTACCGTGCATTTATAGTAGTATGCAATTTCTTAGTTTTCATATTTAATTTTGTTGTAATTTCTGGTAATTCTTTTTATTATGTAATTTCTTTTGTTTGTTATTCATATTTATATATTATCCATAATAATTAATTTTTAAAAATTTATATACCATAAATGTGTAATATTGTAACATAGTAAGTGGGTTTCAGAGTTTAGTGGGTGCTAGAGAGAAAAGTATATAAGGTTTTCTCTAAGAAGGGAGCCTCATAAGCTCATTCTCAAAGAAAATCTAGAGAGAAGTTTTAGAGAGAAGGACTCTGGGTCCGTGAGCTCCTTTCTCTCCCAAATCTCTTTGTTTGATTCTTCTTCTTCTCTAGATCACTAACTCCTTCTGTCTTTTCTTGGAATTCAGGCTAGGAAGCTTATTTTCGGAGGATTGAAGTCTGCAGGTTGAGCTTCGGAGGAATTTCTTCTTCTTCTCAAATTCTTGGTTGTTTTAAGCCAATTTTTAGGTGAGGGAAGCTAGAATGTAGGTTGATTGGTTGCATGTGAGTTTAGGAACTCAATTAGTGCAGGAATTTTGAGAATCAATGGTTGAATTGAAGAACTTCTCATTTTTTTGGGGTTTTGGGAAAAATGGAATTTTTTGTGATTTTGATGCGTCTGTTAGATGCATGTTGAATCTGAGGTTATTTTTGAATTGTGTGAACCCTATGTGTTGTGTTTCATGGATTGCATGTGGCTGCATTTCCTGATTTTCAGGTTTTGGATGGATTTTTCTGGGTTTTGGGGGCTGCTATATGAATTTGCACTGGGTGCATGTTCTTGGTGTCGGGCGTGCGTTCATCAAAGGCAACCATTTCTTGATCACGTTAGGCGCGAGGTTAGTCGCGTTGGGAGCAATTGTAAATGGGAGTCTCTAGATGAGTTAACGCCGGGCGTGAGGATAACGATGCCAAGAGCGATATCAGATAGTGGCCTTGTCTAGCAGGTTACTGATATGGCGTCGGGCGTAGGGTAGGTGCGTCGGGTGTGGAGACCTTTGGAGGTCTCTGTCTAGATGATGTCGAGCACAGGGTGGGCGTGCTGGGCATGAAGACTCTTATGAGTCTTTGTTTGAATGATGCCGAGCGCGAGTTGAATGCGCCGGGCGTGGAAGAGCTTAGAGCTCTCGGGTTGGATTTAGGTTGGGCGCGAGCTGACTTGCGTCGAGCGTGAGTATGCTTGGTGTTATGATTGAAAATGATGTTTTTGCATGTTTAAGGTTGAAGTTGGATCATGTATGTATGATATACGATGTATAGTGATGTATGATTCATATGTATGCTTGGTAATAATGATATATATGAAGGTTTAAATATGATATGACATGTGTATATGTTCATATGAGGTTGATATTGACCATGATGGTGGATTGACCATTTATGGTGTATGATGCATTATTGCATGTGATGCCTTATGGCATGTGTCTAGCCTAGGACTTTAGGAGAAGGAAAATGTTTTCAAACTGGAAGAGATGACATAGTCTCTTGAGAGTGGTGCTTGGATAGACCACTGATATAAATGAGAGTGGTGTCGATAGGTCACTAGTTTTGGGTGAGAGTGGTGCTTAGATACGCCACTGGTTTGGGTGAGTCTCCTCTAAGTCCTTAGCTAGTGTTGGAGCGAGGTATGAGGTCGAGGGTTATTCCCTTATCCAAGTACTGGGGAAGGTGCGTGGTTCCTTGCAGACAGTCGGTGGGTGAACTCCACAAGTGACTTGATAATTCATG